ATAATTACGCGCCATTCGCAATGCTAACGGGTAGAATTTAAATGATTCATGGCCTTCGGATGAAGTGGACTCTGATGAAGAGTAAATACTGGTTGCTTTTCAATTGGGTTGACGCATCTTTACACATAATATGTACACAAGAATGCAAAAGTATGTGTAAATTGTTCACGACGCGATTGAAGTTATGTTTACGATGTCAATTGGGTTAATATTATTCTTCGACAATGAGCCATTAATGAAAATGTCTTGGTATTTTTTTATTCATGATAGAAATGTCTATCGCCGCGATGCTCTAACTCCCGATCTACGTATTTCTTAGCTTTTCAATATTCATCTTCGTGAAGGAAAGAACAAAATCAATTTCTATGTAACAATAAAGTAAATAGATCCCTTAAATCGTACCCAATGTATAATACAACATTCTTCTTGCAGACCACTTGTTGCTTTCAATTAGTCATCGACACGTCTGCATGATTAGAACGAAAATACGTGCAACGCGTGTCACGCCTAATTTCAGAACTCCGCGGTTCGATTTAACTACTAGAAAAAGAACTGCACGATAAGGAGAATTGACTGGCAGTCGAGGTTCTCAGTTGCAGCTACCTTTCAATTTCGTTTGATTAACTTGTCACGATTAAGAGGAGAAGAAATATGGTGGCAAACTTACTGATAACATCGATAGCAGAACGTACTCTATTTTATTTTCAATTTGTTTTATGTTAGGTGCGATTATGCGAATTTATGGTTGGAAGTCACTGTTTCTGAAAGGATACATTTGTCATAAAAACGTTACTTATCGTTCTTCGAATTTTACGAGAGTCAGTATCACGAATAATTTTGCAATTTATTTTAGCAGAATGATTGAAACGGAGCTCCTTATACGCGACTAGAATATCTGCGCCAGATTCTATCTCCTGACATTGCAATATCGATTGATACCAAAAATGAGATGCATCGTATTTCGTAGAAAAAAATGGAAATTATTCATTGTCCGAGTCTATAACTTCGAGAAGAACTTTGCTCCACGAACCATAAATATCCCACAGGGCGATTTTCATTATCGAGGGGACAATTGATTCACGTCTGAGAATTAGTGGGTTCGATTCGACTAATTCGCCGGACCAATCGACCGAGAAGGAATAAAAATGGGGGACCCAAGGCAAAATAAATCCCCTCGTCACGTGTGTAAGTCACTTCCGTTCGGTAAAAAGCTTGAAACCGATCGTTCGTTTCGCATTCACGTTTGCAGAGTTCTTCTCGATGGATGAGATTGAACTTTTTCTAGATCGTTCGTGTAACGTTAGATTTATTCCACGTAGAGGACGGTGCAATTTTTTTGTTCCCATTTGTTCTTGATAAAACTTGGTGAAAAATGCTTGAAATCCTCGGCATAGCGATGTATCAAATTTTTTATCGATGATCATCTTTTAATATCTCAGAAAATATCTGAAAGATTTCTGCGTGAGATGAATTGAAAAAATTACCAAATGTATTTGAAGATATACCTAAAATATTCTCGAAAATAACAGAAAATTCGAGGAAATCTTTCTTTGCAAAAAATAATGACTAATAGCACTTAAGGTTCGATCTCTTCAGTCGGTTGTCCCTCTTAATAATTATTTTTCCGTCCTAGAATCTATACTATTCGGAAACATAAATTATCATCGTTCCACAGTTTTCTGTCCTTCCGCTTTAAGTTTTATCGAGATCCTCGACTTTAACGCTCCGTTGCCTGCCATTTCTCTTCCTTCGTATCCGTCGTGTCGCAAAAACCCTACGGGTACTCTCGTTATTTTGCTCTTTTATTTCCGATATGCTTGGCTGTGACTTCTCGCAGTCGCAAAAAGAAAATGCGGGATGATCATTTCGCGCGATCTCTGCGGCTAGACTTTTTATTTTCCTTTCCTTTTCTAGTCGACATTTCACGGCGTTACAAATTGCTAGATAGCATTCGATCCGTAAGGGTTTAAGTTTATCGCGATATCGCGCAACTTTCGCGCCGTGAATCCGATAAGAGATCCGATTTTCGTAATCATTTCATCGTGAAAATTTTTGTTGGGATGCATCGTTGTGTGTTTATATCAGAGAATAATAATTTTTCAGCCGCGAACAAGCTATTATCGTTTATTTTACGTTTGAAATTATTCTCTCGGAGCCATCCTCGGAAATTGTGCAACTGAATATCGCAGTTTTGTAAAGTGGATCGCAAAAAGAATTTACCGAGTAATAATTCACTGAAATTAAAGTACGAAAAGACTTTATAATGTATTTCATCGAGAAAGACTAGAACCATAATTCGGAATAAAATTAATTTTGTTTAAATGAATGAATATAAATGGAAAAAGTATGAATATCGTATAATACTATTCGTTTTATACAATTCGATGCAGAAACGAGAGCCAACAAATAAATTACATTAAACGACTGTTTCAATGTATCTCTGAGGGGGATGGAACACTTTCCTTTTTCTATAACTGTGCGATTATTAGGTCAGTTATTCTTCCGCGGAAATCGCGTAAACCGTATCTCCTACTGTTTTGAACTCGATCTCGTTGACTCTCTTTCGTTCTCGCTATTTTTCACTCTCGTCTCCCAGCGCATTCCGACCCGCGATGGATAACAGCGGTCAACTCTTGGGATATCTTCCTCCTACGCCAACTGTATTTATGTTTCCCCGAGACTTACAACCGAATCCCCTCGCGACTCGACTCTATCCTCTGAAAGACCACACATTACTCAAAACGCGAACGACTGCCGCAACCTAAGAATACCGTACACGAAACGGTCAGTTTTACGACCCTTAACCTCTTATCACCGTGCGTATATATGGCCGTATAGTAAGTGCCATTTGTTTTTATTTCATCCCTCCACATTTTCGCCACTAGCGCACATTCGTGCAACGATACGAACAACGACAAATATTTTTTCGAAGCTTATCATCCGTCTGATTCATAGGATGCGAGATTCGTTTTAATCAGACTTACTGGAAGTTTAACAAAATTCGTAATTCGTCATTTTTCTTTAATTGTATAGTACACCAATCCTCCAAACTTGTAAAGATCCTCGGAGTCCCAATTCCCTCCAAATTGAAACGTTACGTCGATATAAATATCCGATTCGGCGTAGCCGTTAGGTCAGAGTGCAATTCGCTGCACGATCGGCGGAAACGGTAGAGCTGGGATCGCGAAACTCGATAAGAATCTTCGTCGGGCGGCGAAACACGTTGCCAGAAATTTCGCCTTCGTGTTTCCGCGGGAAGGAAACTAAATACGGGACACCGGATACCCGAAATTATTTTTTCGAATCAAAAAGGGGAAAACACGGACGGTTAATTCGTGGACGAATGGGAACGGTAACGGATAGCTTCGTTCGCCGCGTATCGATTTTCACGGGACGGTTCGGTTTACCCGCATTTTCATCTCGTGTTTCTTGGGGAAAGAGTTTGCTACTTGTCGTTCCGAGACAGTTTTCCAGAGACGTCTTATTCGCGGAACGAAAGGACGAAGTTAATATCGTTTGGCGCCCGTCACTGGCCACGACAGACAACGTCGCCGGTACAACGAACATCTTCGCACCTTTTCTCTGTTTTCGAAGTGAAAGAGCGAGGAAGCTTTATTCTGTTCGTGGATAAATGAAATTTTGTTTAGTTGCTGTTTAAGTTCTGGCAGAAATTTTCTTCATTTTTCAATTCGCCCTGAAAAGGCCAAAAAAATCCTTTTCGTGGATATTTGCACAAAAATGGTTCCAATTCATGGACGATTTAAATAGAAATAATATCGTTACGGTTATGTTTCATGAAAAACATAACATCATACTTTCAGAGAGACTTCTATAATGTAGAAGAGTACATGAATATATTAAGTAAATAAAAAGAACTGTAAATTAGGATGAAAATACGCAATAACGACACGCTGTTCGGTAGAAATTTAATAAAAGATTGTCTTTCGAAGTCTCCCAAACTCGACAGAAAAAATAGATAAGGAAAAATGTACTCTGAGTGAAAAGGATCGCGCAACAAGTAGGTCGCTTCGGCCTTTGAAGTAAGTACAACTCGTCCGTTACGAATGAATCGGATATTTTTCAGCGGGCTGAGGTAAAGGCTGAAGCAGCCTTTATAAACTGTTGTTTCACTTATCATTCAATCTTTTCGCTATCTGTATCGTGTCGTTAATTCTGAGCTTTTCTGACGAAGATAAGTTTACTTATCGATGTTTATTCATGAAAACCACGTTATTTTTCAGAGATAAAACAATTATTTTTTCCACGCTTCTGAGTAATAGTTAAATTTAAAATATTAAAAAATAAGAAGCTCGTTATTTTGTCTTCCTTGGGGCGTTGGGGCATGATAGATCCATCCCTGAAATTAAATTATTCTTTCGCTCCAGACATTCAAGTACTCGATTGACGCGACTACTCGACATCTGTTCGCGCGTCGCGTCTCGATGACCATTATTACAACCTCGAGAAGCTTGCTTTATCCCTCCTCGGCGAAATTACTTCATGCTGAAGAACACGTGACCGTCGTTAAACGTCTTTGGAATCCTTCGCAGCCGAATTCAAACCTGTTTCGATGCAGCGATATCCAGAAAAAAAAAATGTAACCATTACCTTTTTCTCAAATAACGTCGAGAAGACCGAGGTACTGAAACGACTATTTAAATAATTATATCTCGTCTTCGTTAGGAGTATTAATATCATCGGAAACCTTCAGTTATAAAATCAGACGGTATCACAAAAGTTAATCGAGCCAACTTATTTTCGGAGTATAATTTGGAATTTTATCGAGACCTACGTACGTTCTTCGGCCTTTGTTTACAAAGGAAACGCGTAAACCGTTACTCTTGGCGTGTAAATACGCCCCGTGGAGGGGATATAAATACACATTGTAGGCATATCAAACACACAGTACAAACTGAGCATACTTCCACGCGTGGGCCATCACGTATCCCCTCCTCTACGGCTGTTCGATGACTCGAAGTTGCAGAAGACTTTAAAACCTCGCTGCTAGGCGAGCCCTCGGATTAGTTCATGCTACTGCTCCGACAAGTTTGCGTCCAGGCGTATCACATGGCGTGCAAAAATCCGGTAGTGAACGTGAAGCAGGGGCAGCTGCGCGGCGTGGTCGAGGACAACGTCTATGGCGAACAATACCTCGCCTTTCGTGGGATCCCGTACGCGAAGCCTCCCACTGGTCCGCTCAGGTTCAAGGTGAATGTTAACGTGCTCGGAGAGGTCGCATAGGTAACGATTGCGCCGTCACTCGACTCCCAACAGACCAACGTGCCAATGGTTCGCAATCTTTGTTTCGCTGACGGTCCGAGGTGAATTGTTGCCGAGGGACTTGGAGACTTTACATTCGTAACGACTGTAAGAGAAGACCAATGGTTCCCGATCTTCGTTTTCTTGGGATTCGAGGTGAATCGGTGTTGAGGGACTTGCGGACGTTACACAGATAACCACTGTGACGTTACACGAGTCCAAGAGACCGAGAGCTAATCGCTCCAAATCTTCTGCTTCGCTGAGATCCGAGATAAATTGCTGTTGAGGGACTTGCGGACGTTACACAGATAACCACTGTGACGTTACACGAGTCCAAGAGACCAATGGTTCCCAATTTCTGTTTCGCTGACGGTCCGAGGTGAATTGTTGCCGAGGGACTTGAAAACTTTACATCGGCAACGACTGTGACGTTGCTCGACTCGATGAGTTCAATGGTTCCCAATCTTCGTTTTGTTGAGATTCGAGGTTAATTGTCGTTGGCGGACATGCGAAAGTTACACACAGATAACCACTGTGACATCACTTGACAACAAGAAGAGACCAATGGTTCGCAATCTTGATTTCGCTCAATGTCACATCTCATTTAATGGATGATAACGCCAATAGATGCTAGCGATAACCTTCTTTGAGTGCCTCGTGTCGTTAGATATTCGATTGTGTCAGTGGACTTTGTGATTTTCACAGGATTTTTTAAGTGAAAGTGGATTTCTCCGACCGTTTTATTTTATATGCTGATCATCGGCAAGCTGAAATATGTAGTTAATTATTATGGTCGTAAATAGTTTAGACGTCTTCGTATAATGTTGGGCATTCAACGTTTCAAATAAATGTTAATCAAGATTTAAATGGAGCATGTTGTTACAGGATATTAATTATTAATTTTTAATTAAATAAGTTGAAGAAAAAAAATGAGATCGGTGAACTCAGAAACATTCTGTACTTTAATCGCAATGATTTTTGATGAAAGGTATAATTATCTTAACGCTGTGTAAATAAGCGACGAAAACAAAAAGTATCAAACATGGAACTTGATTGATGTACGCTAATTAAACCATACTCGTAAATTACATTTATCCAACTGATCTTATTTACAAGCTTTTTGATGGTCACACAACATACACATGATTTATATACCTTAATGCTTGTTGATAGTAGGAATCTTGAACAAAAATTTAGGTGATCAACGTTACAAGGAAGTATCTCAACTATTAATGAACGTGATAAACTACTCTGCTTAATGATGAGCTACACGGAAAATAAAATGGTCGAATAAATTTATAAGAAACTCAAGGTTTAGTAACGCAAGGCGTACACAACAACTTTTCATCTTGGAAAAGAGACTCCAGTAAATTCTGCGCGATTTGTTATCCGTTACTTGGGTTATCGCACTATTTGCCATGATACAGTTATTACAATTCAACGCTTCCTATCAGAACTATGCCAAGGCCTGTCTTGCACATCAAGACATACGAGTTTCATATCTTCGATGCAACATAAGCGTTTATTACGAAGTTCCATTTCCTTCGTTACACAGACAACTCCAATTCCAGACAATTCCAACGAATACCTTATCTGGTTTTTTCTTCTATTCTAGTTAGAGATTTATAGCGTGTCTTCGTTAGTATTATGGAAATTTTCCTCGCGATAAATATTGTTACAGATCTCTAGAACGTTCAATGGAAAGTTTTATTCGAATAATACGCGATGAGTAATAAATTCTAATATTCAGGTCAATCGTGCGAGAAATTAGACTCGAATACGATACTAGACATATGTTATATCAATTTATATGTAAACAATTCGGTTGAAAACCACTCAAAAACGTTCTGCATTTTAAACAATACGATTTCCGACGAAAAGAATAATATCTTTGTATGTCAAAGTCGAAAAAAAAGATATATATATATATATACGTGTCGAATTGAGTAACCTCCTCCTTTTCGAAGTCGGTTAAAAATAAATTCCAAGGGCTCTTGTCTTCGAACGTATAGTATTCTAAATATTTTTTCCGGTACTATCACGGCTATCGAGTAGAACAAATTCACCTGAAAGTGCCTCGAAACAAAGTGATATTTATATCACTGTTAAATAAATTGATTATTGCACAAAACGTGAAATACTATTCTTTTTTAATTTTCACTCGCAGGTTCATTTTTCTGAATCTAATGGAAGCTATGCGTAGTACATAAGTATTAAATAATAATAGTTTCAATTTAACGTCTCGCATGGAATGTAAAATGCTACTTTTATTTCATTAATTTGTCTTTAATTCGTTCTTTAGAGACTGATGATTTGAATCAGAAGAATTCAGTAGATCCAGACATTCCCGACTAGAACTTTTCGCACAATCGTCGGCATGCCATTCAACAGGTTTATCCTACACGTTCACATACAAGTGCGATACAGGTGCTGCGTAAGAAGAAACTAACTGAAAAACTGCGAATATAAAAAGACGCATACAATCTAAGAGACAGCGTTCAGGACGCGCAAGATGAAGAAAACATTTAAATTCATAGGTTCATTCGCGAAGGAATTCCCCGTTATTATCGATGCATGTAACGTACAATACTGTACGCTATTAATGTTTTGTGACAATGACAATGTAGATATATCTACAATATTAAAGCGAAGCAGCGTGTTTGTACGTTGAAATAGATCCACAGATCGAGACTGCTTTGACTTATTTGTATTCGATTAGAGAACAAAAAGATCGAATTCGTCCATTTAAAATTCAACCCTCGCAAGATTAAGACGCAACTCCGTTAATTGAAAATATTTTTAAATACAACAATTTCGGCATACGCGTCAGAAAACGTTCCCTCGATTATTCTAAAAGTTGTTAGCAGACGTTTTTTCGTTCGCTTCCAAAAAAATTCGTAAGTATGCTCCTGGCTTCTCCCCTTACACGATCAAGCGACAGTTTTTACATCGATATATAGGAAAACGTAGACTTTCGAGTAAAAAAAAAATACTATTGACCTTTAAGCAAATCGACAGTTAACGAATAGTTTATTTCTACCCAGGATTCCCAACCTCCCGAGCCATGGACCGGATGCAGGGACGCCACTAAGTACAGCAACGTTTGCGCTCAGTTCGACTTCATTGTACGAGAAGTGGTCGGAAGCGACGATTGCCTGTATCTGAACGTGTACACGCCATTGGATAACGCAGCCACGAAGCGGTCTGTGATGGTCTGGGTGCACGGCGGTGCCTTTGTTCAAGGATCCGGCGACAACTATATTTATGGGCCCGATTATCTCATCCGCAAGGACATCGTCCTGGTCACCATTAATTACAGGCTTGGGATATTGGGTGGGTAACTCCACAAGTATTAACGTTTATATGTAACGAGTTTTGTCGAAACCATCGTTTCTCAACGTGATAAGCTTAGTACTCTCTAGTCTCCTCTAGCTAAGCTCAGTATCCTCTAGCCCCCTGTAGCTAAGCTTACTACCTTTTAGTCTACCATAGTTGAGCTCAGTACCCTTTAGGCATCTGTAGCTAAGCTTAGTATCGTCTGGTATGATGTAGTTGAGCTCAGTACCCTCTAGGCTCCTGTAGCTAACCCTCTATTATGATCTAGTTGAGTTCAGTACCCTCTAGACCTCCCCTCTCCGAGGTCAGTACCCTCTAGCTCTCCGAAGTTGAGATTAGTATCCTCTACAGTCTAGACCTTCATAGTTGCGCTCAGTACTCTCTAGCTCCCCAACAGCTGAGCCTAGTACCCACTAAACCCCTAAACTAAGCTATTTCGACTATTATATCATTAAATTTTAAGCTTTCAATAATTTAAAGTGCGCGGATCAGAAAGCGAATCTGACAAAGTGGGCGTTTAGACCGGATAGATTGAGAGACACCGATCCAAACTATTTCCCCGACAGCGACAGACCGAACACAGCGATAGCAGCACCAGCAGCACTATGCTAAATTGCAATTACGTTGCGTCGCTCCTTTATTTCGCCAATGGAAAAAAGCTTCACGTGGATAGAGAATGCAAATTATTCGTTCGAATCGTTGCAGGTTTCCTCAACACACAGAACGAAATGGCTCCAGGTAATCAAGGACTGAAGGACCAAGTGATGGCGCTGAGATGGGTCAAGGATAATATCGCGAGCTTTGGCGGTGATCCAGAGAACGTCACGATATTCGGAGAGAGTGCTGGGGCTGCCTCGGTGCACTTTCTCAGCATATCGCCCATGGCTCGAGGTAAGATGGGAGATTTCGATGAGAGAACCACTCGAAGAATTTAAATTTTAGATCGAAATTGGGGGCCTTTCGTCAGAATATATTATTTCTAACATTAAGATCAAGGAGGACGTCCTGGGTTCCTTGATACAAAGACATTCGTCGACAAAATGAAATTTTCCAATAAACAAACATCTATATATAGATAAAATATCCGCTGTACTCTGGATTGCAGGATTGTTTCACAAAGTGATAGCGCAGAGCGGAGTGGCGTTGAATCCTTGGACCATGAGCGCCAAGAACTCAAAAGAGTCCGTGTTTCAGCTGGTTGCCAAACTAGGCAAAGAGACGACCGATCTTGAAACAGCCGTGGAATATCTGACGACGTTGGACCCGCTAAAAATCATAGTCGCCGAGTGTGAACTTCTCACGCCAGAGGTAAAGCCAAATGCGACTATTTTGTATAGCGACTTAACAAAAACATTCAGTTTTCGTAATTGAAAATCTATTTTTTTACACTTGTCACCTCTGTTACCGCTGCACTTGTGAAATAATTATTTTAATACCCGTTACGTTTAACGTTAATATGGTATCTTTACTAATTCTTGAATTTCTATTTCATCGTTAATTTTATAGGATAGGTTCACTATGTTTGGATTCTTCGGACCAACCGTCGACGATAAATCCCCGAACCCATTTATTCCACAACATCCAACGGTTCTAATGAAAAACGCTCCTAGCGTGCCCTATTTGCTTGGTCACAATAGTAACGAAGGAAGCTTCTTGGTTACGAGTAAGTTCACGTTACCATTTGCTACATTTCACTCAAGTTCAGTTAACCGAACGAGCTTGGCTATTATTTCCTTGTTATTACATAAAGGAGCTTGTTTTGTTGAATTAACAATTTTAGTTGTAATGTTGATTTATATATTTTCAGCACTGCAGCGTTTTAAAGACTACGATAAAATCAACAACAATTTCGAGATCACCATCTTTCCGAGCACACTGGACTCGCTGAAGAAAGACGGTGTTTCTATCGAAGATTTGAAACGTATATATTTCGGCGATCAACCGATCGGCGAGAAAACATTGCAAAACTATGCGGATTTGCAAAGCGACATAGCGTTCCTTCAAGGTATTCACTACGTGGCCAAAGATTTAAGAGAGAAGTACCCCCAGAATACGTACTTTTACAAATTTTGCTACGAAACCGGCGAGTCGTTGATGAAACAAAAATTGGAAGTCACTTTGCCAGGTATGGTGCACAATTGTTCTCTAACTGTCGCGTAATTATTTCCATCGCTATAACTCTTCTGTTGTCTTCAAAATAATCGACGCGGTTGTGTTTGTGCACAACCGCGTCGATTATTATACACCCAAAGAACAAATAAAGTGTTTTCTAAATCGAGCTTTAGATTTTGATTTTCAATAAAAAATTGTATGGAGTGCAGTAAATGCGTTAGTCATAGATGCGTTAGTTCATAGATTTCTTGAAATTATTGTTTAATTCAGTACACATTGATATACATATTATTTACAGGGACGACACATGCCGAAGATCTGTATTTCCTCTTCTTCCCACACGTGATAAAGCTGGCGGACATGAAACCACCGGGACCCGGAAGCGACGACTACAAAGTCATAGAGTACTTCACTCAAATGTGGACCGACTTTGCAAAAACTGGGTATGCGACGCGTAATTTCGATTTAGTCCTATGAATTCTCTGAAATTTTCTGAAATTCCATGAACCTTTAGTCTAATTCATTTATTTCATACGTATCATTTTTTATTTAAGGAATCCAACTCCAGTAACCACAAATCTGATCTCGACCACTTGGAAACCCATGGGCAAAGGCAACGAATACAATTATTTAGAGATAACCGAAAAACTTCAGATGAAAACTGACAAACTGGACGAACACACCTTCAACTGGAAGAAAATGAAGAACAAGTTGTGATTACTAATTTCTCGCTATCTGTAATTTGTATATACGCATGCCTGTGAAATTAATCAATAATACCAGTGACATAGGCGGAACAAATGTGTAAAATTCTACTTAAATAAAACAAGAATCAAAATTTAGATAATCGATTCTCTAACGATTCCTCTCGGTCGTACGTTCTAAAGGAGCACACGTTGGTTGTAAAACTAAATATCGGAGCAATCTGTGTGTTTCATTATTATTCAACGTAATGAAATGGAGGGTGTGAAATTAATTTCAATTTTACACTTGTAATCTGATAGAAGAACAACAATAAGCAAAATTTGTCGACTATTGGACATCGTATATATTGTATAAATAAATTGTAACGATCATCTATATAGACTCATTATAACGAAGATCCAGATCACTATAATAGTTGAGGATTCAGAAGGTTGGTAATCGAACCTAACGACTAGCAAATATTTGTACTTAAACTACAGTTATAAATAATTGAATATACAATCACAGTATTATTTTTTGTTAATTTAAACCAACATTGATTTATCGTTCTCCCCTTAAGGCTATATATTCGCATTTAATTAATCGTACTACAAACTTCATCGTGGCTGTACAAATGCAGCAGTGAAACAAACCACAATATAACTCGTGGTTTGGTGTCCTAGCGTATACAGGGTGTCCCAAAAGTCGGGGAGGAGCCGGAAATGGGGGGTAGCTGAGACGATTCTGAACAACAATTTCCTTTGCAAAAATGTCGGATGGAGCTTCGTTAAGGAGATATTAAGCGAAAACCCCGACCAATCAGAGCGCGCGTAGACCGTTCGAGCGGCCGCGGTAGCGAAGGCTACGCGCTGACGGCCGCGCTTGTACGCGAACAAGTGACTCAACGTGCATCGAAAGACATTGACGCTGCCGCCTAGCGCGTAGCCTTCGCTACCGCGGCCGCTCGAACGGTCTACGCGCGCTCTGATTGGTCGGGGTTTTCGCTTAATATCTCCTTAACGAAGCTCCATCCGACATTTTTGCAAAGGAAATTGTTGTTCAGAATCGTCTCAGCTACCCCCCATTTCCGGCTCCTCCCCGACTTTTGGGACACCCTGTATATCGAATAGTCCTTTCGCGCGAAGCTCCGCGCAGACCATCGCATGACGCCACAGGTTTAAAATATAAATTTCCCGCATCAAGGAATGCGTCTGAGGCCAAACACCGCGCTTACTCATCCATCGATTGCGGGAAACGAAGAAAGAAGAGAAGTTGGATTCGTGCCAGGCCGCCAGAAGGCTCGCGCAAGCGCGCAAAGCCGCAGCTGATCAGTTGCCCGCGGCAGCGATAATGTCCGGTGTGTTTTTGCTATTGTCTTGACGAATTACGGTATCGCGAGCGAACAAAGTTTTCGTCGAGGAATCGAGGCATCGCGTAGAGGGCCAAGAGCATTGCCTCGACAAGTATTTACGTTGTTCTTCGTAAATGGGCTCGGCTTACGCGATCCTAACCTAACGCACGCAGCGGCTGGGTAAATACGTGGTGACGTGACGTTTGAGATTAGTCAACGCGAACCAAACTTCATTTTGTACCTCGAGAACAGGCCGTCCGTGTTTTGTCGCGAACTGGTTGCGCGCCCGATATCTCGAATTATGGCCGACGTAAATTCTCAGTGAAACGTCAACGATAAAACGGAGGAAATTTTTGATCAATTCGGACATAAAATCGAAAGTGTCCGACGACCGGAAGGGGAACCATTGGGACGAAATTATCGGACGGCTTCGATCGACGATCGTTTTCCTCGCTGTTCACCGGTTACCATTTCCGAGGTAAATACAACCGCTCCGGCATTTTTTGTTATTCGATTACGAGACTGCACGAGTGACACGTTTCCTCTGTCACGTTTCGAAGTAATTTATTATTCCTTTATTCGCGTGCATACGTGACGTTTCGCAGGCTTCGTTTTGTCGTTGGTTGTGTACAGAAACAAAGTCACGCGACCAGATTTTTTTTCAACTGTTTGGTAGGGTTAACGAGAATGTTAAAGAAAGGAGGTTTTCGAACAATGGGAATCGAATGACGAGTATAACGTAAATGTTTATACTCTTGGAGAGTGGTTTTGATGATAAGGAACGTTCGTCCGTCGCGATTGTTTTGTTCGGTGACACTGACTCCATTGCATCAGCCGGACACCTCGTATTATTTTGTTTTTGATTAATGGAACTATGTGCAGTGGGTGTAGAATGTATTCTATGTGTAGAATATCATTGTTTATAAAAAAGAAGATAATAAATTACAATTTCACATAGTTTTTTTTGGAAATTCATCGATGTACGAATACTTTCTACACTTTCAAAATATTTCGGAAAAATTGTAACGTGTCTCACGAGTCGCTCTGTACGTGGTGGGTATGAGCTAATCGCTCGTAACAGACGTGTTTGTTTCGACAAATTCCACGCAACAGTAGCGGTTTAGATAAGATTATACAGACAGGCTGTTGCTGCAGGTGACTCATGTATGTATCGAGAGACGTTCGATTGTGTCGAATCTGCATCATCCACTCGATACGCGAGTCCGCTGGTACAATGTTACGCTAATCTAAACAGTGCATAATTAAGTAAAAGAACATTTTCGTTCCACTAGTATGGACTTCACGATCGAAATAAAATTTTTACGACCTGTTAAATCGTTGAAAAAAAAAATGTAATATAGATTAACATTGCACAATGTTGCGAAATTATCTTACCTCGTACACGTTCACTGATAAAACAAGTCGGACGAGTGTCCACGCTGTTACTTCGTTACATCGCATTAACCGACCAGACGAATAACTTTTCGTTTTATGCATCGACAAGTAATATGCCTCGCTAATGTTCGATCTTATTTGTTCAGCAGAGAAAAATGAATATCCAGACGCCTTACTTGGACGCCATTCAGGGTATACCCGGCGCGACACCCGGCGAAAAGTACAAATGGATAGCGAAAGTGGTGAAGGAACGATTGGTGGAGTGCAACAGTCTCGAAGGAATCATCGAATCAGAAAAAATCCCGCAGTTACTCATGCCCCTGGTGCAAGCACAGGCTGCCCAGATGCTGATCAAGAAGGACTCAAAGAACATGAGCATCTACACCGCCATCGCCGAGGCTCTGAAATCCGAAGACGCGACAATAGTAAACAAAGCCTTGCAAGCCTCGAGCTTCTTCGACGGAACCAACAAGACCATCACCAACGTCCGATACTTCTTCGACCACTTATTCCCCTACGTTACCCTGAACACTAGATTGCGCATTATAAAGACCCTAGCCATCCGTCTGGCGCCAAAGGAGTCCGCCCTCGCCGAGGAATTCTTCGTCGCGGTCGCAGGCTCTTACGGTCTCGAGCAAGCGTTGCCTCTGCTACCAGCCTGCAGCGAGACCTTCATGTACAACACGATCGTAGAAAGGAAGATCGTTCTCAGTCGCAAACTCTTGGACACCATCTTCCACAAGAACCCCGACTTCGTGGTACGATATTTAAGATTGAGCAAGCCAAACCCAGACCGTAACACCAGGAACCTCCACCCAGTGAACATTCACGGGTGCGGAGACTTCTTGGGTGCGTTGGTAAAGAAACGACTGAAATCGTTCGTCGAGCTGTACGAGATGCACGAGAAATCTCCACCGGCTGTTCGTCTCAGCAACAAGGCCGCGGAGGCTCTCCTGAAGAACGGCAAGGAGTACTTTCGACAAAAACCAAAGCTGTATATTAAATTGGTGCCGTTGAAACTGGTCAGCGCGAAGCTCATAGAGTCCGTTTACTGGAAGTTGTTCCCATGCAGCGTCTTGGACTTCGACGCGGACAAGATGTTGGATTATTTACAGTACTATCCGAGCGAGAAGAAGCTCGACCTATTCCTGAACTCGTATCGCCGGGTATACGGGAGAAATATCCTCGACGATTGGGAGAGGGTGACGTTCCAGTTGATGAGGATGTTGCCCGCCGATGATCGAATCAAACAAGCGAGGATCAAGCTGGAGAAGGGGGACAACACGGCTAGCAGGATGGATTATAAGCATTGCTGGAGGTGTTACCTGCCTACCAAGGAATCGCTAACAATTATCAAGGAGGAGATAGCGAAGACATCGGAGATGGAGTGCAGGGCGGCCCTGATCTGCCAAATGATCTACTCCTGCAGAGTAAACAAGGACGACGACGCTTTGTTGGACGTTCTAACGTACACCAGGGACAGACACAAAAACGAACAACCGTGGTTCCTGATGAAAGTGTTCGAGTGCCTGTTGAGCCTCTACGATCTTCCCCATATGAGCAGCAATCACTGGACGGTTCTCATGGACGTCATCATGCGAGCTGTGGTGAAGAAGGAGCTGACATCTATGAACATAACCGGGATTAGGATGATCGAGGCAGCTATTCACTACAGGATCATCTACGACCAACCTATAGATCAGCTCATCAGCGTGCTCGTAGACGTGAAAAGCTCGCGATCCACTGGACACTGGAATATTCTCAGAAAGTACCCTGAATACGAGAGAATGTGCCTCGACGCCTGCCTTGATGTAGTCTCGAAATCCTACAACTCCAACGAGCCTCCCTGGAAGAACAGAGATGGAATAATCTACGACCTCTGCAGCTCCATCTACGAGTTCAACGAGCACCACGTGAACCACAGCCAGAGCCACAAGCACAACGCTCGGATAGAACGGATGTCCGTGAACAACTATCCCTGGTTGGTGAAGGAGATCGAGAGGATAATGCAAGGGAACGACGAGACTGCCTCCTATCTAACCGGCAGTTTTCGATTCTTGCTGAAGAAGCACGAGAAGGAACTCTGCAAGCGTTTCTGCGCGGAGGAGAAGACTGCGAGCATCGCCGACATCGAGTCAGGAGAGGCTCTCGCCCTGCTGAAGAAGCACCCCGAAAGCATTCTGTCCAAGTGGAAGGAGTATCTCGACGAGTGCCAGGACCATTGGTACTGCGTGGGCCGGCAACGTTTCGTGAGATCCACGCGCTGGTACAACGACATCCCCACGAAGTTCGTCGAGCAGTGTCTTCAGGATTTAACAAAGAGAAAGAAGGGGATGGCTTTGAAGGTCCTGGCTGTCCTCGTACACGGCGAAACGTTCACAAAGATCATCGAGCCGTTGATCCCCGAAGAGAAGACGATCGATGTTCACCACGAGGACGCTCAGAGTGATTATGTCCTCGTGCATGACGCCATCTCCGGCATCAAATTCGCGAATCCCCCGGTACCGTTGACGCTTATAGGCAAACTATGCGCCGGTGACTACTTGTCGAGCGCTCTGCTAGCTCTGACAAACGTCTGCAGGAGGACCTCGCTGATGACAGTCACGAACTTCGCAAAGATGTTGACCAGCCAGAGGGTGTCCGTTCGAAAACACGGAATTAGGTTGATGCACATGGTATCGTCGCGCGACCAGCTGCACGACTTCCTCCTCTCGCAATGGAAAACCGAAGAGCACTACTCCATTCGAGAAGTTCTATTTAATAAAGCTAATGACTTGTTTCGGGAAGAACCCGGACCAGCCACGTGGGCGTTGCTGAGTCAAATGATATCCACCTTCACGGCGAAGGACGTGGACGCTATGCCCAACGTGATCAAGGCAATTTCTAAGATACCCGATGACTACCTCGAGGACTTCGTCAAGCTCGTGCTAAAGACCATCGACAACTTCGCGGAAGCTGGAGTTCCTCAAGAGACTGTCACAAAGAACATCAACTCCTTGCTGCAAAGCATCAACGAGGCCATATGCAATCTTCTACCTGAAGAGTTCATCGAGCAACTCCTACGAAGATTTCTTTTTCATCCCGAACAGGACATCTCTGGGCCCACGGGAACGTTCGTGCTCGTCGCGTTCCTGCTACCAGCCAAGGATAAACTGTACTCTCGAATGACGATCTTCTCCAACGTCTTCGTCGAAGCGGTAACGAACCGTTGGAACGTACCGCATCCTAAAAAATCGCACTTTTTCCCCGTGAATCACGCCGTTCAGGAAATCATTACCAAACTAGTTTGTTTCGCCATGCACGTGTACGTGGATCCGCGACTGATCGACGAGACGATGAAAATGTTCCTCAGCGTCCTCACGCCGCAGACTGACGCCACCTCTTACTTGTTGATGGTGTTCGCGAAGGAACAAATGTCCGTGAAAACGCCCAAGGAGTTCGGAGCTAAGTTGGGCCAAAAGTTGCCCGAATTGATCGCCATTTTCTCGCCACTGTTCCTCTTCTTTGTATCCGACACGCTTTGGAGCTTCCTCCTGTCGAAACCTTTCAAAGATTACGAGTCGGAGGACAGTAATTTGGGGATTATCGAAGGACTCGCGGAGACTGGATCGATCGAGGCTACGTTGATGGCGGTTAAATTGTTAACTCCTGTTAAGTCCAAGGACTACGTGACCAGGTACGACCAGTTGGTAAGGAAGTTCACCTCGTGCGAGCATCCGGCGATCAGGAGTCTTATGTGTAATATTCTTAACAAAACCGGGTACGATGACTCGCCCGATGTATGAATTAGGTTCGCGAACGAATTCGTTGAACGGAACAATCGATCGATGGGTGCAGCGTACTTTTAATGTGCATCCGAGCAACCGTGATGAATGGTTGGTATTTTTTATTTTAAGAGGAGGAGTAACCATGAGAAACGGAGCTATATTCGACATTTTCTTTTACAAAGACGATTTACTTAATGGATCATCTGTTTGCTGGCGTTTGTTATACGTGTATCGAATAATAAAGATATAATTTTTATTCAGATTCTTTTACGTAAAGTAGCGATGCTGGAACCATTGCGCGCCAAGTCTTTTTCGAACGACTGTCTAATAGGTTTGGTTAGATTTGAAATAAAATACCGAGCGTTTTATAAGCAATTTCAATTTGTAGAAAATGAGAATGCCTGGTTTTTTATTCGAGGTTTAATCGTACCCGAGAACCCCGATCGTTTCGTAATGGTTTCATTAAATAATATCTAACTAATAATTACTCTTTCATTGCTCGATACGCGTGTAATAAACTCCAGGAAACAAATGTTCCATTAAGTAAATTGTTTTCGAAAAGAAAATTGTCAAATACAGCTACGATTTCCATATGGGATGACCCCCCATCCTTTATGCTAAAAGACTCGATGAAAAACAGACGATACCGCAATTTATTTTGTCGTCGAACGTATTTTTCTACTGAGCGCAAAACGTTTGTCGCACACTTAAACATACTATTTAATGTTATTACGATATGTACATATATTGCATTGCGAAGCGATATGTGGATTTGATACACACGATGGAACAAGATTGTTTCTCTACAACATTTTTTGTATGTATACATTTGGAATTTATTAAAAGCCGAAGTTTATGGCGAGCAAAATGTTATCGTTATTGTGTTTAATCCTTTATCGAGAGGTTTTAAGGCACTCACGTGATCCATCGAATCCTGTGATGAAATTTGGGCATGGCGTGTAGACCGTTGTTCCAGCTGGGGTGTTTGGCCAGCAAGACCATCCGTCGAACGTGATTGGACAGTAGGGCTCTAGAAAGAAACGAAGATCCATCGTGAAATGCTTGCTCGAACCGGATACTTTTCACTTTCAGTTGTTCGCTTTCTGATTAATTTGAATTTCTTTTGTTTTTGTTTAAACGGTATTTTTATTTCATTTGATCGTACGTTTACAATCACGTACAGTTACGTACTCTGCATGGTAACAGTTTACTATTTCGATTTTTAAAACTCAACTGCAGCTACTATTTCAAGTAACTTAAATAAATTTATGGAAATTTACAGCTTGTTGACCGTTAAACACACTTTATTCGTGTGTATGTGATTTATTGTATTCGCTACGTCATCGAATATCACGTATCTTCGTGAGTTTTATCGGGCTCGTAAAATGTTCAGAATTCATCTCTAGCATATCCGTGATTGTAAGAAAGTAATATCCGGTGTTCTTTTCATTGAAACGTCTCGAGACTACTGTCACCTGACGTATGCACTGATTCTTTCCTTTCTCCGCTATCACGCAGGCTTAATTAAAATAGCAATGTCCCGTCTCTTTGTCCCGAGAACGACTGTGGTGGACACTTCCAAATTGCGCCTCAGGGCTCGACTTAATTCGAGATAGTCGACTGCAATAAAGGTCAGTTCGGAGGACAAATTGGAGAATTCTTCCACGAAGATTCACGATGGCAATGAAAACAGTCTCCTGTAATATTCTGGTTACGCACGGAATGCTACTTTCGCTGCATTTACGTTGCGAAGAAAATTTTCCTTCTTTTTTAGCGGTAGATGTACTTTCGCGGAATATTATAATGCTTCCGGAAAATTTTTAATTAATTCCTTCAACGTAAATTCTCGAAACAAGCATACAACGTGCACGAAGTATCCTCCTTCTCTCCCTTGGTAATACGAGTTTCATTGAAACCGTTTGGTGGTACACGCCGAATGCAACAAAATGTAACAATATACATGTCCGACGCATGTATCCGCCAATTCCCTCATAATGCACGAATTAATTGTTACGTGTTCGATACGAAACGACAAATCTCTCGGTGAATATTACATGTCGACAAACGGAGATGTGCTCGACGATCACTTCAGGTAAACATTCCTTATGTTGCGAGATAAATTTTTTGCGACATATCTTAAATAGAGACACTCTCCGACTCCTTGTTATCGCGGAAAATATCGGATCGAACGAGAGTAACGACAGAATCGGTGTCTATGGGCACGCTATACGGTTTCTGATCGATATTTCCTTTTATATAAAATCCACTTGACATATTTTCATTAAAGCTAAATCGGAAGTTAAAATTGCTCGACGAGAAACCCTTTAAAAATCTGAAAACTCCGAATACGGACTATAGAAGCAATCCTGAGTACGTAGAATAAAACTTGACTCGACGTCGAGCATCTTCTATATAGAACACATTTACAAGGGGGTAGTTATGTATTGTCACGAGTGGACCGCGGATTTTCGAACGTTTATAGAAAATTCGAAAAACACAAAATTATAGAAAATATTAAAAGTAATGTTCATAATATAATATTTGCAGAGTAAAATAAAGTCCTATTTAGGTTCAGGTGTTGTAGGTAAGTTTGTCAAGCTCTGACTTTCGACTAAGATATGCTAAAAATATGCAACGTCACATTCCGATTACAAAATATCCATTTGCGTAAAGATATATATAAATACCGTTTGCACCGCGTCTTGGTGTTGTTTATCGAGGAATTTTCGTCGCGCTTCTAACGAGGTTCCTACCTAACAACGAGCTTAGTAAGTATCTATAGTAGCGAATAAGGAAAAGTGCTGCTGAATATGGAAAGAAAGATAAACGATTTTTGCTAAATTATTTGTTCGATGAAAATTACACTTTGAATAGTACAATGAACTGCTGTTAAATTGAATAGATGAATAAATAGTAGCGCGGTATTCTTATTCGTCAGTTATTATTCGAATACAATTTTGGCCATCTTTGCTTATCGAAACCATACTATTTCTATCGTGAGAAACAAGGAAAATATGAAGGTAACCTGTTCTTAACAAGATACCCTGTACATCGACAATACCCATGTCAAGGGTATTTGTCGATTCTTTTCTCGAGACAACATAAACGACTACTTGTTTTCTTAATATTAAGTGTAGTGAACGAATTGCCAGTGTTAAGCCTGTGTTTGTAGAACACCTAGAACTCTTCTCTGCTAGTATCGGTATAATGATTCCTCATTGCTACTTTTTAAAAGTTGATAACGTTATCATCCTCGTTGATAAAAAAAAATGTAACGTATTACTTTTTACGGTTGATAAGATTTTTTGGCTAATGAGCAATACAATGCTGAATTACAATGCTTTGTGTCCTTTTTACATACCATAAAAACAAACCTACCGTTTTCCTCCAGGCAATTATAACGTGATAAAAGTTTTCGTGAACGATAATTTTGTCCTCGTAATCAGTTTTAATTATACGTGAACTTCGTAAACAGTAAATCAAAATAAATCATATGGTAAACTATCGATATGATTTAAATAAATCATGTAGTAAACATGAACTATTTTCTTTAGCATTACAATTTTTTATTATTTTACTGATTACGAAGTAAAAATATAAACATAGAGATTATAAGAAAATATACTCGAATTGCTACTTGTGAAGACTAAATTTTATTACAATGTTACAATTTTTAATTATTACACTAAATGGAAAAATATAAAAATAAAAACAACGAGCTTATTTTTTTTAACAGTGATATCTAATCAATGCACAAAAACAGAACCTGTCAAAGAACGCAGGTGATTATAAAAGCAGTGAATATAGCTGTAGCTAAACATGAAACCACGATAGAGATAGTGCCAGTGGAATAAGAGAACCGAGCAGGATCCTCCTCGAAGAAGTAATCCTCGAAAATGAAACTCTCGATCGCGATTGCAGGCAAAGAGGAAATCTAACAATAATGCATCCGAAGATACTATTTCTCGTCTTTGTGTTCATCTATTCCACCCACCAAAGCGAGGGATACAGAATTTTATGTCTCTTTCCTTACAATGGACGAAGCCATCAACTCATGTTTGAGGGGATATGCAAAGGACTAGCGGCGAGGGGACACCAAATCGATATGATCAGTCATTATCCAACGAAAACACCCATCGCTAATTACACTGATATCGTCGATTTAGGAGGATCGATGTGGAATGCGACCAACAGCCTTTCCGTAGATATTACGAAGTCCCTGCATAAATGGATCTCGTACTATGTTATCCGGTACTTCGGTGGTGAAATATGCGAACAAATGGGCCACGAGAAGATGCAAAAGTTCATTCGAAATGCACCTAACACGCCATCGTACGATTTGATACTTACCGAGGTGAATATACGAGCTAATCGAGTTTACTTAGAAACGTCTATTAATTGAGTAATTACCATTTCCTTGTTCGTCAGTCTCGATACATATGCTACCCACTCGAACTAGATTATTCGTAAGTTAATATTGTATAATAATTATAATATAGTAATATCTTTAGTTCAGAGGTTAAGGTAATTAATTTCTGTTCTTTTGAAATTCAAATAAATCATGTCTATAATTATATAATATAATATATATATATATATATATATATATATATATATATATATTTTTATGTACGTGATTATATATTATATTATTATGTATATTTATAGATTATATCAAATATATCGCAAAGAACGAATTATTATTCATATAAATATTGACTTATGCGAGATGTATAATAACTCGTTCTGTGTATACAGTATATTCGATAAGTTTACTTCAATAATAACTCTACCATAATCTCATTTATTCGATTCATTTGAAATTTTAAAATTCGGGAAGAATTTCATGGAAACTTTTAATATTTATATAAAACTAATAGAACCCAATATGGTTATCAATTATTGCTTACAATAACCGTAAGGCCTGAACGTATCGATACTGACGAACAGGCGTCTGTCCACTGCTTGCCACTTCTACTGTTTTATTCCATTCATTGACGTTTCTCGATTTATTGTAGTATTTCGGCTCAGGTTGTTACCTGGGATTCGGCCACTACTTGAGAACGCCCGTTGCCACCGTTCTGTCACAGATGGGAAACGATTACGTGAACATTATTGCGGGCAATTCCTTAGGCCTTGCCTACCATTCCGTGAACTCCAACGCGAACCCCGAAATAACGACGTTCTACGACCGATTATGGAACTTACTGTTATGCACCCAGTATTTCCTAGAGTACTTGTACTACTCGTCGGTTCACACGGCGATAACGAGAAAGTACTTGGGTCAGGATGTACCCGACGTCAGGGAACTGGAGAGGAACGTGTCGTTGATTTTCGTGAACGGGCATTTCAGCATGTTTGGAATTACAACCCAAGTTCCAGCGATCGTGGAGGTCGGCGGTGTGCACATCGAGGCTCAGAACACCACGTTGAGTCCAGTGAGTTATAAACGAGGACTTCTCAGACATTTTATTCATTCTTGTCCGTACTTGTAAATTCGAACTATCGAGGTCCACGTGGGGTGGTTCGGTGGGCTGATTTGAAACAATTTTTTCCTTTGCAAAAACGTCGGGTGATGCTTCGTTTTTTAATTATTAACGAAGCACCATCCGACATTTTTGCAAAGAAAATTGTGATTCGAAATCGTCTCAGCTACCCTCCATTTTGGTTCTAACACTAATTCTGGGACACCCTGTATACATCAACGTATTTCCACAAACATACACTTGGAAGCATCGAACTTATCTATTAATTTAAACAAATGTCTTCAATAGACATAGAGGGTAAGTATATAAACGGGACTGACTGTAGTTCTGTACTCACTTTTCCGCTCCTAATGAAAATATTAATCCCCCATCCCTAATAAACACGCGTGTCATTACAAATACTCGAGGAGCAGAGTGTAAATCGTTTCTCAATTTGATGACTTAGGCGTTAAAGACTTGGCTGGACTCCGCGGAGCACGGTGTAGTGTACTTCACCTTGGGTTCAATGATCAAGATCGAAACTTTGCCACAAAACGTGTTAATC